AAGAGACCTGGTGGATTAGATTAAACATTTTTAATCTATGAAACTACTCCACTATCTGTCATATTGACCACAAGCAAGTCTGAAAGGAATCTGATCCTTTCTTACTACTGGCTGCAATCTAGAACAGAATGGTTTACTGGAGATTATATATAACTGCTTTGACAAATAGCCTTTAAGCATTCTCCATTAATTTAACAGATACTGTAATGATTATCTGAACTACATTAAATTCTCAGAAGGATGTTATAACCCTTCAGCTATGTATCAATAGAGCTGAAAGTCAGTATGGAAGAATGTGGAATTGCACAAATACAACTAATCTAAAGCCTATGTATTGGTTTGCAGCTTATTATGTATTTTTTACTTTCTAAGAGCAATTTTGATCAAGAAAAGAGCCAATTCAGTAGTATCTTGGCTGATTTACTAAACTGTAGCTACCTTACCAGGTTGTTGTTTTTGTTTGCCTAATCTTTATTGCTTGCTCATGATTAGACCAGAATTAGCCATGAGTTTCCCTAAAAATATAATCTGTGTTATTAGTTTCAAAGGATAAACATAATCAGCATGAGTTGATAGTAGCACTGAGGTGTGTCTCGGGTTTTTCTCTCTCGCTATAGTATCATTCAATTGAATGACCTCTAAATGTTTAGTTCATCGATTCAGAATTGCAATGGCAGGACTATCTAATCAATAACATTGTTTATTTCAGGTTCACATAAAGGAAGTCTATTAGATACAGGCCATTTAAAGTTTTTACAGTATTTTAAATTAATGGTCGCTTATGTGTGCTACTCCATAGCTTCACTGGCAATGATGAATACCTAGAAAAACAAATACATGAGGATGAACAGATTGTTAAGCAGCAGTGGGAATTTGGACATTTGCTTGTAATTCAGGTATAAGAATTCTGTTTGTATATTCTGCATACTGTATAGGAATGATTTTGTATTATTTTATTGTTATTTCTCTTAATACTTGAAATAAGTTCCGTAAAATATTAATAGTATATTCTCATGCTAAGACCCCAGTCTTCATGACAATGCAAACCAAGGAAAGAGAAATATTCACAAACATTACACAAGTTCTTTCCTAGCTTGGTTGTGACAATACTCCTATTTGTGCATATTTTTTTGTGGCAATACCAACACAGATGGACCTGTCAGCCCCCCTGCATGTCTAAATATTCACTTTTATTTTGACACATGAGCAAGAGACAATAACTAAATGGTTATCTTCCCTCAGCCACCAGCTGTTCCCACTGGCAGCACAGACAGTAGGAAGAATTGCATGAACTTCAGACCTGATTTTAATAGTGATATTTGGTGATTTTTCATTGAAAAATAATTACTCGGATTTCATGGCTATTGCTTATCACTTTTTATGAAATTACTTTCATGTCAGAAATTACAATAGTGTAATTTTTGTCCGATATTTCCAATTTAAAAAACAGATAGATAAGAAAGAAAATATGTAAGAATGAAAAAAAATAGATTAAATACATATGATAGTATTACCTACTAGAAGGTCCAGAGCCTGTATACAAGAGATGCTACTGACTCCCAATGCTTCTTGATTTTAATAAAACATCAAAATCTTTTTCTCTACACTTCTATCTTTACTTTCTCTACTAAGGGAATGGGGGAAATAGCCTAATCAACCTGTGTGAATAAGGAAGTTTTTGGAAAAACTCAGATGTTTTTCTCTGATATTATTCGTATTAGTTTGTAGGTTATATGCTCAGACAGGTACTGGCCAAGTACTAGACATCATGGTAGTAGACAAGGATCACAAGACAGCAGAGATGATGACAGATGTAGGGGCAACAAGGAACAGCAAAATCAGGAAGGAGTATGAGAAGCTGAAGAAGTACCAGGGCCTGAAGGAGGAACTAGGGAGGATATGGAAAAATAAAGGCCAAAGTGATACCAGTGGAGGTAGCAGCACTTGACGCTGTGACTCCTGAGTTGGGACAGTGACTCCAAGAGATCTGAGGAGCAACATCAGAACTCTGTGTCCAGAGGAGCAAGTGCTAGGAAGTCCTAGATTAACACTCAAACTGCCGGGCATCTGGTAGAAGATCCAACATTGAAAAAGGCACATACCACCCATAGAGGTGGGAAGGGTTTATATATACTTGTTAATTGCTTTTTTCTTGTGCATCATAATTAAAGTTAAGATGTTCATTTGTTGCTTGAAAGAAATTAATTTTGAAGAAGTCAACAGGCTGTCAGGTTTCAATGAACAATTCAGATTTTTAAAATGACACACAGGTAAGGAAGCTTCTTCTTTAATAAAGATCCTATATAAATTGCATTAGTTACTTTTCAGCTGCTCAGCTGTGGAAATTCAGAAAACTGACATTAGGTTCAAGAATGATATGAATTGTAGCTTCCTACTTGCCCAATTAAAATGGAGGGAGGGACCATCAGTAGCAAAGCTGTTCGGGGACTATAGTATTTCAGTATTGTACTTTTCTTACCAAAGTCCCACAAACTCTTCTATGCAAAAAGAAAAGTTGCCTTTTCTTTGAGATGCTAATTTTCTATATATAATGATTAACTTGACTGAAAGACTAAACAGCAATCTCCAAATAAAAAGTATACTACTTATTCACTATGACAAAGAGAATCTTCTCTTACCATAGAAAAGGATGTAAAGTAATAAAATAAATTGAACGTTATAAGATTATGATGTACAAAGTTGCATCCTATTGAAAGTATGTCATTTTTCACAATCATAGTTACTCTATTTGCCAATGCCTATGATTGGAATCATATTCTTATATATTCAGTTATAATCCCACTGAATTTGTGTAGCAAGGGATAAAAACTATTATTTTGGGAGACTTAATATGTTGTGAGGAAATAGTTCAATCTAGGGTAGGAAAAAATAACTTTCATCTAATATCAAATAAGTAACATTGCATATACAAAGTGTTTAATATTCTTAAATATTTGTAAATAAAATACAAAAAACTAAATATATATATTAAAAATGACAGGCAACATCCAAAGTAAAAAAGATGCATGGGATACAATGCGAAGACAAGAAATTGCTACAAAAAAGAAAAATGTGTTCAGTATTTATATAGTGTTCAACATAAGCAGCAATACAATGTATAATTAAAATGCTGAAGTAGGACTGAGCAAACGTAAGTTAACATCATTGAGTTATGGAAACTCAGTGACAACTTTAGGTTTGTTACTGTCTTTCAGCCCAAATAATCTCATTGTATAGTTATTTTGTGAGGAAAAGGAGGAGAAAATGCTAAACATGTCACTTTGAGCTTCTGGAGACAAGACAGGAAATAATAATGTACTTTAAAATATATGTCACAGTGTTGACTTCTACTTCAAATACAATAGTGGCCAAAATTGTGGAAACTTTTTGGGAAAAGTGTATTTTTGAGGTTTGATGGCTAATAACACCACTTTTTTGGAGTAGTACCATAAAATTATATGTCAATGGAAAGATAATTTAATCAAGAATATAATGCAACAAAGTTTGTTCAATTATCTGTACTGTATTCTATGAAAAATTATAGCCAAATAACCAGAAAAAGGAAGCACAACTTACTTAGGTTGATATCAGGTAGCTTTCCTTCATCTGATTGTAGCCAATGAGCATGAGTGTTTAGAGAACCAATCAGGTGTCATCTTTTTTGGCAATGAGGCTATCAGATCACAGTAGGATTCAGTTATTGATGTCATGTATTGAAGCTGAGAGGAAGACATTTGTCAGTGTGTTATGTGATCGCTATCAAGTTGGTTGGGATTTTTGTGTGTTCTTTCATTTAATGAGCTTGTAAAACATAATAAAATTAAAGTAATGGTGCAAAGAGTTGACTGGTTGCCCAGAAAGTGATGTAAAATAGTATTATTAAGTGAACAAGGCTACAGTTATAAAGAAATTAGAAGAAAAAATGGTGGAAACTTAATCAAAGGTGGCATTTCTACTGTACACTTTTCCCAAAAGGTTTCCACAATTTTGGCCACTACTGTATAAAAGCTAATTTACAAGAAGCTCCTTCCTGTCAAGGTCATATATACCTGGATTTTGACACTGCATTAAGCCACAGTATTGTTTTGTTACTTTTGGTTTAGCTATGATGCTTTGTGAAACATGGTTTATACCTTAACTTTATCTAGATTTCTGTGGCATGGTTAAAACAAATGAAGGCCTGCCAAAATAGAGGAGTTAACCATTATATTCACAGGAAAAGATAAGTTTTAAGTTACCTTTATTGATTGCTATAACTCAATAAAAGCACACTCATTTGTTTTCAAGTAGAGGGGCACAGGTTCAATCCCAGCATCTCCAAGTAAAATAACAAGTTCAAATGGGCAAATAGGTAGCTTCCTATATAACAATGATTGATAGAAAAAGCACCAGAATAAGCTCTATTAGCTGACAGCATAAATATCCCTGTAAATCTGACTAAATCTACCTGCTGAATTTGCTGCAACAAAGTAACACCAGTGTTGTATGATTTTTGCCATGATATCACAATAGACATCCAAAGGAAGCAAGTTGTTGTAGAAGGGCTGCATATTAATTTATGTGGTATGCAGTTATCTATCGATATGATCACTACCGCTAGCAACCTTTGTAGGAAACATTAAAAAACAGGATAATTGACTTAATTAAGAAAAAGGCTTAATTAAATCTTTCTAGTTTATTATAAATCTAGTCCCACCTTAGGCACAAAGCCAATTGGGTGACCTTGGCCAGTCACTTTCTCTTGGCCCTAGGAAGGAGGCAATAGCAAACCACTTCAAAAAAAAACCTTGCCAAGAAAACCACAGGGTATTTATTTTCCAGGTAGTCTTCAAGAATCAGATGGAACTGAATGGAAGAAAAAAATGTAGAAAATACACTATATTTTTTTAACTTGCAATTAATCAGTCACATAATAAAAGCATAATACAGCATCTCTGACTATGCCTAATCACCTCTTTAGAAAATTATGAGCTAGCTTTACACTTTCTCTTTTCCCTTACCAGCAGCTAACGTTTGTCCAATTCCGGGCTTACTGTCGACACATCCAATTCGATTGCAGAGAGTAATGGTAAACGAGTACATTCTGTATGGTTCCAGTCCAATCGCTACATAGGATTGCTCATGGGCTTCAGCAACATACAAAGTCTGCAAAATAAAGAGACTCAGGATGTTCTAGTCTGGGAACGCTTTTCTTACTTTATATGAGTATGATAGTATATTTAACAATAAGTAATTGGTTGGCCAGGGTTTGCCAAGCACCATTAGCAGAACTAGCAATATTTTGAAGAAAAAAAGTTCAACATGCTATAGAATTAAATTATAATACGTTCATCATGATACTTTATGAGGTAATAATCCAGTTCCTGAGTAGACAAATGAGGGGAAAAATTATTGCCTCATAAAGCTGTAGAAGAGAGGAATTATTTGTGCAAACTGTACAGATTATGCAAGAGAGTGGTATCACTATTATGTGATGAAATCTAACCAACTTGCATTGGAATCAGACAAAGCTAGAAAATATTTTAAAATGAGGACATGCTGCCTTTTAAATAGGAAAAGTTATCATTACTATATATTACAATCAAGAGGGACAGCATCAGAAAAGTATTTTTACCTTAAAATACCTTAAATGAAAAGCATTAAAATGGAAAGAAGGAGAACTATTGAATAAAAAAAGTTTATTCAATTATACTGAGAAAACCTTTTTACCACCTATTCAAAAAGGTGAGCTTACATCATCAATACCATTAAGTGCATATCATTTTAGACTGAAAGTCTGACAAATCATTGGGAACAATGTGCATATATTGGATCCAGTGTTCCCTTAGGTATTTTTTCCAGAAGGTTCCTTAATAAAATCCCTGCACCTCTACCATTAACATACGAAGGCACTTAGAGAATAATACCATATTCTACGTCAATGGAGCTGCCTTGTATGAAAAGTCCTGGGAGAATCATTAATTAAAAAGAGAATGAACATTTTAATTGTTCAAACCCAAAAAGAATACTTTAACAGCATGATTTCAAGGAAATGTTAGGTTGTTAGCAATTTTATTTTTTGCTATGAGAATAATGCTTTTCAAGTTTCACAACAGCTATGAATTAAAATTTGCATAAAATAATAATATTGAGAAGACAACTATAAACAGCAAATACCACAATTGCAAAGAAGCTGAAAAAACAGTAGACAATCTAGTTAGCTGCTATAAGAAGATAGCATAGACTGACTACAAACAACAGTACGACAAACTAGCAACAATGGTGCATTGGAAGATCTACAATAAATACAATATTCCTGCAAGCAAGAACTGGTGGGACCATAAAATAGAGAAATTCATAGAAAATGAAGCTAAATTGCTCTGAGACTTCAGAATTCAAACAGACAGGTACCTGCTAAATAACACGCCAGATTTCATAGCTATCAGTAAGAAAGAAAAAAAGGAAGTCTGAATAATGGACATGGCAATACTTAGAGAAAGCAGACTAGAAGAGAAAGAACTGGAGAAAAATGCAAAGACTTGCAGATGGAAATAGAATAACTATGGCAAAAGAAACCAAAGGTAATGCCAGTAGTAACAGGCACCTTGAGTGCAATCCCAAAACAACAGAGAAATTAAAGCCTTAAATGCTTATATACAAATGCTCAAAGCTTGGGGAACAAACAGGACGAACTAGAAGCAATAATCCAGGAGGGAGGGTATAACATAGTTGATATTACAGAAACCTGGTGGGATGAAACCCATGAATGGAATGGACTGATGGATGGATACAAATTGTTCAAAAGAAACAGGTCTACAAAAAGAGGAGGGGGAGTTGCACTATATGTAAGAGAATGCTACATATCTACAGAAATGCACATCATCATAGATAAAATCTCTCTAGAATGCATATGAGTCAATATAAAAGAGGAAAAAAGTGACATTACCATAGGTGTATATTACAGACTATCCAACCAATAAAAAAAATAGAAGAACTCTTTGTCAAGTAGTTAACAAATGTATGTAGGAAGCATACCACAATAGTAATGGGAGACTTCAATTCTAACTAATAGAGAAGAAGTGATAGAGGGAGTTGAAGTTGCCAGAATCTTGGGCGAAAGTGACCACATCATACTGGAATTTAATATAATGCAAACACTAGCAATAGAAAACAATCCAACCAGTGTCTTGAACTTCAAAAGAGCTGACTTTAACAAACTCAGAGAGAACCTAGGAAAGATCCCATGGATGAAAATCCTAAAGCAGAAAACAACCCAAGAAGCGTGGGAGACTCTCAAAAATGCAATCATAAAAGCCCAGACCAGTACAATATCACTGAAAAAGAAAAACAAGAAATTCAAGAAGAAACCAGAATGGCTGCACAAAGATCTCTCTGACAAACTGAAAGACAAAAAGGACAAATACAAAAAATGGAAAGAGGGGCATATAACTAAGGCCGATTATCAGCAGAAAGCCAGAACATGTAAAGATGAAGTCAGGAAAACAAAGGCTCAGAATGAACAAAGACTTTCAACAGAAATCAAGGATAATAAAAAAAAGTTTCTTCCAACATATTAACAACAAGAAAAAAGTTAAGGACACTGTAGGTCCACTAAAGAGAGAAGATGGCAAGAAAATAACAGGCAACAGGGAGAAAGCAGAGCTGCTTAATTCAGATTTTACATCAGTCTTCACACAAAAAGAAACCATAGCCCAACATACCAAAAAAACCACTGCAAAAGACAAATTGGAAACAAAAATCAAAATAAGCAAGAAAATGGTAATAGAATACTTGAATGCCATCAGCATTAATAAAATCATTATCAGTCAATTGCAAAAGGCAGCACTACTTGGAACAGCTTACATCCTGTGACAATACTTTTTACACCATCAAACCATTAGCCTATTAGCCTTTTTACACCATCAAACCATTAGCCTATTCCAGGTCCTTAGGAAAAATGTAATAAGTTGATTAAAACTGCCAAACCCAATCTAAACATCTAGCTGACTGTGCAACCAAGCATCATCATCATCATCATCAACAACAACAACAACAACAACAACAACAATAATAATAATAATAATAATATGAAGAAGGAAGAAGGAAGAAGGAAGAAGGAAGAAGAAGAAGAAGAAGAAGAAGAAGAAGAAGAAGAAGAAGAAGAAGAAGAAGAAGAAGAAGAAGAAGAAGAAGAAGAAGAAGAAGAAGAAGAAGAAGAAGAAGAAGAAGAAGAAGAAGAAGAAGAAGAAGAAGAAGAAGAAGAAGAAGAAGAAGAAGAAGAAGAAGAANAGTAGTAGTCAATTGAAAAAAGGAACAGCAAGGGGAAAACAGCCCATATCTAGTCTTATAGGCAGAACCAGAAAAATAGAAAATGATATATCCGTATTGGGCTTGTTGAACATTTTTTCAGAATAAAACCACATATTTATATTCACAAAGGGCAACTTAACTTCAGAACAGTCTTTAAAAAAATCATTCTTTCCCTTTGATAGCAATGCAGATAAATAGTCAGATCCACCTTGGGCAATTTGCCACAACAACTTTGATACCTCACTGTATTTTAATAAATCTAGGCACTGCTCCATTGGCAAATTTCAATTTGGCATAGCCATAAAGATTGGGACCACTTTAGAGGATCCATACATCAATAAGCAGAGAAAACAGATTGCTAATAACAATAATACCTGAGAAAACATTGGCAATACTTTTTGTTCGGTAATTACATTGACGCTATACCCCATCACTTCTCCTCTTGCTTCATTATCTCCCGGCTTTTCCCAAGACACATTCAGAGAATATGGTGAAAGAGGGAATACTGATGGAAGTGGCATGAATACAGGAGCTAAAACACAAATAAATGTGCTAATTTATCATAAAATAAATGAACAACATGTGTCAGGCACGTTTTCCCACTATATTTGTAAAATACCATCTGTTAAACTTGATAAAATGGCTCTTTGCATCCAATTCCTAAATAAGCAGCTTGTAGAAATTAATTTTCAGGTCTAAAAGGAATTTTCATATGTTTTTTTAAAAGCTACAACTTCAAAGTAAATGATTCCAGTTATAAGCAAACTCTTGGATCTTTTTTTCCTATAAGGTGCAAACCACCACTTAAATTTTAAACACAATATAGGCTTCATTTAAAGCACAGGCTTATCTTGACCTGAGAAAACCTGATTAAAAGGAAGGCTGAGTAATTCAGCAAAGTACAGTACATTTAATTACTGAGAAGCTTGGAAGTTCTATCTAGTAGTCTCTCTCTCTCTCTCTCTCTCTCTCTCTCTCTCTCTCTCTCTCTCTCTCTCTCNTGTGTGTGTGTGTGTGTGTGTGAGTATTGGTGTTGGTGTATGATTTAATTTTATGACCTCCAATTTTTAAAAGATAATCACATATTTTAGAACTTATACAGGCACCGTTAATTGGCAGTGTTTTGGAAACACTTCTTATATATCACTCTATAGAAAAATCTGCTGGAGATTTTAATTTCACAAGCAAGCAAAAGTGAAATCCTTGGCTTGAAGCCATTATTTAATTTGTCCAGCCAAAAAAGTAAAATCAGTAAGACTAGTTTTTCCATTCTTCCTATCAATTCAGATTCCCTTCCTTAGCTGGCACAAATTTAGTTAAAGATTTCTAGAAATGGCACAACTAGGAAATCAAGGCCAAAGGTACATAAAGAATTAATTGCCCTCTTGCAGAAGTTGTGGATTTTGTTTGTATCCTTGGTAACTTTTTCTCTGGCTTTGAGAAATTCTAGCTCTCAGCAAATTCTCATAAATTAATGTTCAGTATAAATTTAATGGAAATCAGTGGATTTAGGTAAGTCTCTCAGAGGTTTATTTATTTAATTTATTTAAATGAACATAGTAAAAAAATAACAGCTAAATATCATTAGCCAAAATAAGTAAAGCATGAGTATAAAGTCATTAGCAATCAATATCTGCCTGTTGTAAACCTTATATTGTAAAACCAAGCTTTGATATTACGGAGCATGTATGGCTTCCATTGAAAGCCAAAATATTACAGGCTGCCAACAATTAACCAATGGAACAACCTGCCTCCAGAAGCGGTGAATGCTCCAACACTGGAAGTTTTTAAGAAGAGACTGGACAGCCATCTGTCCGAAATGGTGTAGGGTTTCCTGCCTGCCTGAGCAGGGGGTTGGACTCAATGACCTCCAAGGTCCCTTCCAACGTTGTTGTTGTTGTTGTTGTTGTTGTTATTATTATTATTATTATTATTATTATTATTATTATTTTAAAACTTAAAAAAATAAAAAATATCAACTTAAATTAAGACATTTTAGATTTAAACTCCTACTTTAAAAAAAACAAGCAAAAAGTTTGAAAACCATTTCCAAAATATTGATCTAAATGGTTAAGGTGTTAATGTAAACTCCAATAATTACCTGCCTCTGCTGTTCTTTGCAATGTCCAATTTGAAAATGTGCTGCCAGCCATATTGGCTGATAAAACACAGAACTCATAGTCTGTGAATGGCTCCAAATCAGTGACAACAGTACTAGTTACAAGTGGCATCAAAGCTTTATCATCTAGAGATTCTTCCGCTGGATGAAGATCGAACCATCCACTGGTTTGGAAAATACAGTTCTCAGGGGGCACATGACTTCCATTGGATTGTACACCTCCTTTCATATATAATTCATACCTAATAATTACACCTAGAAATGAAAACAGGCAGCTTACAAAACAGGTACTGTATATTTCTCTGAAAATATTTAGATTTATCCTTTTGTCATTACTATCTAATGCTGAAACTGATGTGACTTAAAGGATATTGCCTAACTCATCTTCCCAAAGATGCATTTGTGAATACCGGTAGTTGTTCTTTGGTGGAAGTGTGCCAATACCAATTACACTAAGGACCAATCATAACCATAACCTATATACACTTCAGCCTCTGAGAAGGACAAGATAGCCCTTCAGACTGCGAAGGCCTGTTGAGATTAACTTTCAATTGCTTTACAGTTTCATGTCCAATTGAATGATTTCCTATTTAATAATAGGGAATACATTCTGGAAAGGAGCAGTTGAAAAGACCCAACTCTGCAAAGGGTCAACACTGGGAGGAAACCTCCCATAGAGAATAAGAGAAATGACTTTGAGTAAAATATGCAAGGACGGTTACCTATACAAAAGGAGTTTTTTTAAAAAATCCAGAGAAACAAGATAACATTCAGAAGTGACTCAAGAACAGGCCTCCCAAATTTACTGGACTTTAAGAAACAGGAGAAAGTACATCATAATCAGACTTGCAAGATTCTGTAATTACAACTACTGTCAATAAAAATAATTTTAGCTGTCTTGTAGGGTTGCTTTCCTTTACTTAGTGGGGCTGACACTTTCTCTTTTAGGTCTTTAAGGGTAGCAAGAGATAACACATATAAGCAACCAATTGCCCATTATCTCAACAATTATTTGCAGACCTCCAAGAGTTTTATTTCCACTCCTGAAAACTATAGGCCATAAGTATGCATTCTCTTAAGCAGAAATTAAGCAGTTAGATATTTGGGAAGAGAAGTTATGTTGCTAGTAATGTGTGACACACTGTCAAAAGAACACTGGATCTAGTATACTGACTCAACTCAAAGGTCCATCCATTCCAGGCCTGGCTAGCAGCAAGTTTCAAGTTGGTTTCTCCAGCCCTATCTAGAGCTATCAAGACCAACTACGTGCAAAGTGTGTGCTGTACCCCTCAGTTATCCCCCACTTACCATAGGTGACTATGAATGAAGTAGTAAATGGGGGGGGGGAGGAAATAAGTCTCATTGAGTCTTATACTAATCGCCTTCAATGGACTTATTCTGTTTCCAGGAAAAAAATCCTGATAATATATAGATCCAGTACAATTCTCCCCAAATTGCTGAATCAAACACAAAAACTTACCATTGGTTTTCCTGGGTGGGACCCATTCTACAGCCAATTCAGTAGAGCTGATATTTCGTATGACCGGAGGTAGCTGCTCCTCAGGAGGAGCTTGTGCAGTAATTATTGACAGTTGCTGGCTTAGCAAACAGCCTCCACTAGTACACGCTTGAACATAAAAGCTGTATTTTTTAAATGGAACTAAATTCCAGACAGTTATAGAGGTTCCCAAGCTTTCATGCTGGCCACAAGACTGGTGTTCAAATGAAGAAATGCATGTCAAAATATATTTCTCTATTGGACCAGTGTCATTTGATAAGGCTGTCCAGTTAAAAGAAATAGAATATGGCCCAACAGGAAAGACTGGATTTAAATGCAGATTTCCTAGAGGTATCCCAGGTTGTGTTCTGTAGGTCAACTCAATACTTCTTGTAAATCCGTGGATGTTGCTTGCTTCAAGGTGATATGTATACAAAGTATACGGAAGTAAATTGCTATCAACAAAGACCTGGAGGCCTGAATGAAGTGTGAAAACATTTTTCTTTTATTTTTACAGTATACCATAACTTGCATTTTAGACTATAGTTCTTATAAAATGACAAAGAGAATAAAATAGGAAACAAAACTGAAGAATATTATTAACCAAAATATGACAATCATTTTAAAAAGAATGTAGTAAATAAAATGCTGAATAGTTAGCAAGTGTCTTTGCTTGCTTGCTTGCTTGTTTGAAGCCATAGAGCTAAAAAAAAAAACTGACTTAGGAAAATGAGCCCCAAATCACAGAATCTAATTTTTTTTTGGAGCTGCAGCTTTGTGTGGGGAAAACTTGCTGAGAAGGAAAAACAGTATTACATTTTACTTGTCAACATTGAAATGCTGCATTTTAAATCATTACTGAATAATCAACATAAAGCTTAATTTAAAAGCAAGATGTATTTTACTATCAATTTCTCAACCATTTAGCATAAACATTAGTAGAACTACAAAATATAAAATGTCAAGATCTTAGCCTTTTACTTTATGAGCATTAAATGTATTGCATTTAATTTCCTCTGCATTATGTTTCTTTTTAGACTATTGTTAAAGTTGCAGCCAAGTATTTTGGATTGCACCTTTAACATTACAATGACTTTTGCTAGGGCTACATCCATTCATATGTACATGTGTTGGTTTTTGTTTTCTTGTGTGTTCATTATCTGAAACAAGTCAAATATAATGTTGGATGTTATTTCAATTTACAGTAATAAGCATTATTATTTACAAATAATAAATAATATTATCTGGAATTAATCTAAAGCATTATGGAGTAAACACCTAAAATGAGACCTTCTAGATCAAACCAACAGTTTCCCTTGATAAGGAACACAAGTAGTTCAGAAGTGTCCTGAAGAAACAGCAGAAATATGGTAGTTTCTCTAACACTGTCTTGGAAGAGACCATCAGTTAATGTCAAAGGCTTTGCTTTATATACTGAAAATCTCAGGCTCAATCATCAGCAGTTCAAAGATTCAGGGAACAGATCATGGAAGAAACCTATCCTTAAGACTCTGAAGAGCCACAGCTAGTCAAAGTAGATATACTGGGCTAAATGGACCAATAGTCAGACAGACATCATTTTCCCACTAGTGACTTATAGTGTCTTTACAGCATCAGCCAGCCATTGCTGAAGTGATATAAAGCCTGTCCTCATTATTATTATTTTCACACAGACATGGTTGGCCTAAAACAGTGTTTCTCAATCTTGACAACTTTAAGATGTGTGGACTTCAAAAAGAATTGAAGACTACATGGCATAAAGTTGCCATGGCTGAGAAATGCTGGTCTAAAAGTTTAAATAAATGGCTAAAGGGGAAATGACCAGAGTATGTTACTTCTAACCAGGCATAAAATGTCTATCCTTACTCATATCTCAATATAATTGATAATCAATATTCACAGGAATATTTTTAACTGTCTGAAATGAAAGTCAGTAGTGCACAAACACATTTCTGCTCGTCTAACTCTCTTTCCTCTCTTTCCCTTGTCGCTTCACTGCAGCCATTGCAGAGGATTTGTGGAACTCTGGGGAAGGTTTGGAAGGCCCATGCTTCACGGCAAGGGGGAACGGTTAGCAATGCTCCACTGATGGAAACATTTCCATCAACAAAAACATCCCCACAGAATGAAAGCATTAATAATAATAAAAAAGAAATTAAGAGTTAAATTAAGAGACAAAGATTTCTTTGGAATGTGCAGGTAGTCCTCAACTGTTTAGTCTGTTTAGTTGCAGGATCCAATCTGGGTCGGTCACAGGGACTAGAGGTTTTGTCTTCTGAGCTTTTGGACTCGTACTGAAGCCCATCCTCAGGGAACTTCTCTTTTGGTTAGACATAAGTTCCCTGAATATGGGCTCCATCATGAGTCCAAAAACTTGGAAGACAAAACCTCTGATCCCTGTGATCGGCTAGGATTGGACCCTGCAACATCATCCTGGGACACGTATATTTGCCTTCATTCGGGGGTTTGTTTAGTGACTGTTCAAAGTTACAACAGCACTGAAAAAAGTGACTTATGACCATCTTTCACACTTACGAATGTTGTGACATCCCTATGGTCACGTTTGCATGCTTGGCAACTGGTTCCTATTTACGACAGCTGCAGTGTCCTGGGTGGGTCACATGACCCCCTTTTGCAACCTTCTGACAAGCAAAATCAATGGGGAAGCCAGATTCATTTAACAACCATGTTACTAATTTAACAACTTCAGTGATTTACTTAACAAATGTGGAAAGAAAGGTCATGAAGTGGGGGCAAAACTCACTTAACAAATTTCTTACTTAATAACATACATTTTGGGCTCAAATGTGCTTGTAAGCTGAGGACAGCATGTATCTATGCATGTTTTTTCTTTGATATGAAAAACTCTAAATATAATTTTGCTCTAACTCTAAAAAGATGTCAATTAAATAATCAAGCAAGGTTTTGAGGATATTGAGTGAATGATTGTTGTCACCAGGAGGGCAGAGGTTATTGTGCCTTCTTTTTTATATATTAGGTTTTTATCTCTATAAGATGCTCAGAGTGACTGAGAGTTGGGCAGACATATAAATTTTCTGAAATAAATTAATTAATTTATAATTTTCCTTAGCAAATTGGAAGCTTTTGTATCTGTAATTTCACAGTTATTCAAACTAGAAGTTCTATGAAAGCAGCAGTATTTAAGGGATTGTGTGTAATATAAATGCTATATACAGTACATCCTGAGAGTAGCCATTAATGTAAGAATTCCGTAGCATTAACTCAATTTATTAATGTTTCAAAAAATTATGTTTGATAAAAATCTCATACTATTTATCTAGCCACATAAATACATCCAAATTCACTTTGGGCTCTAGAAATTAATGATATTAGTCTATGATTAGACAAGTAGTACTTTTGGTTGTTGAAACAGCAACTGCTTACTCTGCTAATGAACCTTGAAAAGACACCCACAGAATACAAAGACTAAGGGAGGCAAGATGTCTTGATTGGTACGGAGCTGTACATTGATCTCAAAGTTTAGGGATTTTGTCTATTTGCCAGCACTGTTCAAAGTGTCATGTTAACACCTAGAAGTTTCTTGCCTAATTAAGGCCCTTGGGAGTGGACACATCTGCCTTTTGATGAAAATATGCAGAGAACAGATCTCTTAGGCAATGGAAAAGGCTGTTAGTGACTGTTGGATGTAGCTGGTGTTGTATTTGTACTGTGTCGATCGGAGGTGCTGGAGGTCCTCTGTGCATCCAGAAATGGTAGAGAGAAGAATCTGCAGCTTGATGACTCAGTAAAAGCAAGCATGATTAGAAAGAGAGATCTGCAGAGCAGATTGGCTAATGGATTGCTACGTTTGGAAGGATTGACGGAATCAGTGAGGAAAGCTTGACCAAAGCGCTGGAATTTAAGAAGCTATTTTCTCCTCTTTCTCTTCTCGTCCCCAGGCTAAATACAGTAAAGTAAAAGTAGTGAAGCAGTCTCATGAGTGAGCATATAAAAGTAGAAATAAAATTAGAAATGATAGCAGTGCTCCAATATCTAAGGGGCTGCCACAAAGAAGAGGGAGTCAAGCTATTCTCCAAAGCACCTGAAGGCAGGACAAGAAGCAATGGATGGAAACTAATCAAGGAGAGAAGCAACCTAGAACTAAGGAGAAATTTCCTGACAGAACAGTGGAACAATTTGCCTCCAGAAGTTGTGAATGCTCCAATACTGGCAATTTTTAAGAAGAAATTGGACAACCATTGGTCTGAAATGGTATAGGGTTTCCTGCCTGAGTAAGGGGTTGGACCTCCAAGATCCCTTCCAACTCTGTTATTCTATAATTCTGTAAATATAGGATCTCTGAGTGAATCAGGGAGGGAGCACTTGGGACAGTTAAGAACCTGCAAAAGGTTATGTAAAGAAATGTATTTATAGTTGATAAGCTAAGTCCTATGTGTGTGTGATGTAATTGTGTACACACACAAATATCCCAAATATTAATTTATTGAATGTATATTAATTGAAAAGTACTGTAACAATAGGTATCAGAATAACCCAGACAAGGTTTGTGTTTATGTGTGCAACTACAAGTCAGAAAAGTTCTTTTCCTTTTCCCACTCAATTCATTTGTAAGAATATCCTTTTTTGTTTTAATTTTCTCAGTTTATTTATGTCAAATAGCATATGCCAAGATCCAGTTCTAATTGTATGAATCCTACATATAACAAACTAGCATAGGGTGTATAAAATAATAAAGCATTCCTTGGTATCTGAATGACAAAAATGTAAACATTCTAGGAATCTGAGCTGCTTTTCTCTACACAGAAACCTAATATATCAAGAGTTTTTTAAAAATAAATATGAATTGAATAAACAGGCTAGAAATTTCTTCACACATAACATACTTTATATCATGTTGATTTAAAAATGCAGCAGCAACAGCAAATAGATTGGGGTCAAAGAAGAAAATGTGACTTTAAAACCCACAAAGAAAAACTTGAAATTACATTTACTTGATGTGTGAAAAACAACAGCCAAGATATTATATATGTGGAAGAACATGTTACACAGTGCTCCAATCGAGAATAAAATGAATAATGAATAAAAAAAACACTTTTGAAGTAAACAAACTATAAAGGCATATATTATATTAATGAACACTCACTGTAAGGAAGGTAATCCTCTGTTGTGTAGATCTGACTCCCATTTCTGTATAGTTTGTAAGCAAGCCAATTTGAATTGGGAGAATCTGGTGGATTCCAAGTGACTCTGATAACTGAGGAATTTACAGTCTGCCCTTTGGGGGGAGGCTGCTGGGAAGGAGCTAGATTAAAACGAAGATTGAAAGAAGACAATTGCCACAGTTTAATAATCTGACATGCATCCTGCTAAGGAAAAGATTGTTACAAAGCCTCTAGATCTTTGCTTCATTAAGAAGGCCTACCATTTCAGGCTTTTCTCACAAGAAAGCTTTAGCATAATTACAAACCAAATTTGTATGTCAGACTAATAACCTAGCACTGTGGTCTCCAACCTTTCTGGCTTGGCAGACTGGCTGTGGTGATGATGGCGGGGGTGGGAGTGGGAAAGATAGGGGATGATTTCATGTATGCACATGCATGTGCACACCACTTTCACAAATGCAGCTTTGCACGCATGCACACACGCACACCCTCATCCATCACTTTCTTGGCCCAGTTTCAAATGGGCTGCAGCCCGGCAGAGGGTCACAGACTGGGGGTTGGGGACCCCTGGCCTGGCATATATTGGAAATTATAAATGCAGAACAAATGCCATTCAAACAGTACTATTCACTGGATGAAACCAAAGAATAGTTAGGTATTATTTTATCTCCCCACACTAACATAATGCATGCAGGTTGAATTCAATTTTCTTCAAAGGGACCTCTGCATATGGACCAGTGCATCATTTAATCCGGAAAACCACCATAGATCCCAAGGTTCTGGAAATGATTCAGAAGATGTGCTTTATAATATGTGGAAGGGGTGTAGGAGAACTCGCTGCAGCCAATTTGCCATGGTCAACTTGTGGCTATGGTTGTCTTTATAAAATATGTTTTCCAGCCTTTTCTTCCTGGTATTGATAGTTAAAATTTAAATTTATATTCTTATTTAAGATTATTATTCTACTTTTAAAATTTGAAATTCTTTATACAGGTTGAAACATAATTATTACCAAGTTTTTTTGTTATTATTATAAGTAGTAGTATTACTATTCTATCCCCTAGGCTTATATAGGAGCATCATTTAATATCAACTCTTCACTTCCATAATAATCAGTGTAAAAAGCAATCACAGAAAGATGGGATGGGGTGGGGTGGGGTGGAATGGAAGAATAGAATAGAATAGAATAGAATAGAATAGAATAGAATAGAATAGAATAGAATAGAATAGCTTTATTTGGCCAAGTAATTTTAGACACACAAGGAATTTGGTACGGAAATACTCAATGTATTTATATATTATAGAAATGAACTACATTTCTATTTGCTCTACCTTACTACAAATTTAAGAATTTCCTCCTTGGCAAATTAGCTATCACCATTCACTTATATAGGCTCCTTCTTTGGAATGTAAACCTACACATAAAAGATAATTCTTTATCTTAGTTGTGGATATGGACATTGAAGAGACAGTATAAAGAATAAATCTCTTAAGAGTGCCTTGAAGATGACTTGATCATTAGCAATGATAGCATAACAGACTCCTTCCTTTCTTTCTTTCTTTCTTCCTTCCTTCCTTCCTCCCTCCCTTCCTTTTTTGTGTCTGATTCTTTTTTTTCTTGCACTGGAAGTAGCATCAGCAAATAACATTTAAAAATGCAGAAAATTACCTTCTTCAACAATTCAAATTCTGCTACAGTTTCATGGCCTGTCAGTGCATTTCTTAAGAGCACTACTAATGCTCCAAAGCTCATAGTATTTAGAAAACTATTTCCTAACCTTTAAAGTTTGAATTATACTACCTTGCATTTCCCTAGTATATATTCCCATCAAACTGCTTTTGATGTCAATTTAATTTTGTCAAAGAGAACGGTTTCTTTTTATATGACTAATATATATATATATATATATAATTAATTATTTTACAGCCACTATATAAGATTTTAATCTCCCTTAAATTTTATTAATTTCACTTTGAAAGAATAATGGAAATTACATAGAATTAGACAGAGCAAATCAGCAACAAAGGGAAAATATTATGTAAATCCAGGCAGATTAAATATTGCCTGCAATCTAAATATGGAACACAAGATCTTCATGCATGTCAATAGCTATAAAATTTATACATGTCCTTGCTGTATACAAAGCCTTGCTTTTATAAATTCAGTAACTGGAGCTGAGTCATTCTGAGTTCATGATTATTGCCTAGATATTATAGTAAGGTGGATGAGGTGGGGAATGAAGAGAAAACCTGAGACACAATCCTTTTACAATGCCATGAATATTATTTTAAAATAAGTACCATGTATGTAAATGCACAATCAACCACAGTTGAGAATTAAATATTTCTACGTATTTAAGAAAATGATGATGATGTAGGGCAGTGTTAGTTGCACTGGATCTGGGCATGTCTGCAACAATCCTGATACTGATATGGGGCCTATGTGCTCCTTTGATTGTCTGGAAGGTAATTTGGAGGCAGGCTGGTTGGACTGCCAAGTTCTAGAATTCTATTCAGTTCAGTTAATGTACAGCTGAGTCTTGATATAATGGGCTGAGAAAGAGAATGACAGTTTGCAAAATATTACAAGTTCGTTGCATCTGCACATTCCTCTTTCATCTGGAAAATGGGTAGCCATCTCCCCACTGCATCAAGTAGATAGCAAGAAAATCTAGGAATGTCCACCTTACTTAAAGATAAATAGGGTGCTAAAGTAAAGGCCACCTGGTAGTAGGTTTTCTGTAATTTAAATCCATTTCTCCCTTTCAACAATCCAGTTAATAAGAGTTGGTAAGAATCTATAGTTTTCTTTTAAATTAGTGGCTACTAGGGTCTTGACACTTGTAACATTTCTATTCAGAGGTAGCCCCATTGAGCTCAATGAAACTGGTACAATCAAATTGATGGCGATGATTCCAGTGGGAATATTCACCCTGTATTTAACTCACAGCCAAGTCAGAAAATATATAGCTTATATCAGCACTTTGAATTGTATTTGGAAGCCTACAGGATGCCAATGAAGGCCAACAGTACAGATGTAATGTAATAACTACTATTCAGTATTCAGGTCCCTGAATTTTACAGCAAATGAAGCTTCTGGTTCGTCTCTGAAGGCAACCCCATGTAGTAGTGTAAATGGGAGATGATCAGAGCATGAAACATTGTAATAAGGTCCTCATATCGCAGATAGAGCGACAAAAGGTGCACCAGCTAAAGCTCAGCCAAAGGCCCCTGACCAGGGCTTCTACCTGCAATTGAGCAGGATCCAAAAATTCAGAAGGGTTCCCAAGGGATGGACCTGCTTCTTCAGTGGTAGTGCAACCCCTCCAGAGTGGGGATATAGGGGAATCCTGATGTACAAATAGTACGTCTGTCTTTCTAGGGTTCGGTGTAATCTTGCTTTTTTCCATGTGAAGCTTCCCAGCCCCCAGGATAAAACTTTCAATGTGTATTCAGACTTGTAAGATTCTGTTACTGTAAACTTGTAGTAGCAATCACAGGTTTGCTTTCCTAGTCTATCTCGAAGTGTTGACATTGGTCTTGCAAATCTCAATTCACTTCTCCTCTCCCTCCCTTTATCTTCATAAGAATTAGAGAATCTGAGATACTTTCAAAAATTACATTTTTACCTTGGACTCAGTTTTTTATTTGACTAATTCCTTGTTTGTAGCTCTTCCTTTTATTCCTCAGGGTAATTCCTACAAGTCATTACAGTTATACAGTTGTTGTTTTTTTGTCCACTTATTTTAACGAAGTGGGTTGGTTTTAATCAATTGCTTACTGCATAGAGTTATTGCTGTGAATTGGATATCCACATAAATAAAATAAATAGGAGTGGAGACTGGGCAATAATTGTCTAACATCTCTAGATACAAGAGGGTTCTGAATGTTATATATGAAATTTCAAATTCCAAAATGTACCTCCAAATATATTAACATTGGGGGATTAATTCATTTTATTATGAGCAATATCAATTTTAAGAATTATAATTATATTGTTATAACAATCATTAAACTAATAATAGCCATTCATCTGAAAAAAATGCAAATCGATAACCACTCACTTTTACTGCAGCCAAATGGGTTGTGGACATCCAAATTGCTAGCATTGGGAACACAGTTGTCACATTTTAAGCCAGCTGCAAATTGTTTACACAAACATTGTCCAGTAATGGAATGACAAGTCCAATTAATAGCTCCAGCAGGATGACAATTACAATGCTGACATCTATAAACAAAAACAAATCATGAAAGTAATGAAAACACATTAACTGTTCAGTTAGACACAGTAGGGCTTAATTCACTGGCTTCTTTTAACTAACACAATTAGTATCACAAATGAAGAACTTAAGAAACTGAACTCTGGTAGTGGAAAAACTTAACTATATTTAAATAAAGAGTTGTGTCTCAAATTTACACTACGGAACAGTGTTTTTTTTCATTTAACCACTGCTCTTAAATGTGTCTTTAGTGGATTTGCAAAAGTTAGACAGTAGAACATAAATAGAGGTGTAAATAGTTGTTCTAATGATCTAGTTCCAAACTATATAGGACTTTGCATATCATATTACCCTTGTATCAGAACAGCTACAGTGATCATTAGTTGCTTTCTGAGCTCAGTTCATATGCACAATGTTTTATCTGACTAAAAGTGATGTTGAAAGTGAGTAATCAAAGATGTGTAATATCTCCTTGGCTATTAAATGTATTTACAGATTAAATGTATAATGGTTACAGTGATTTTAGAAGTATACCTGTTGGGAATATAAAATGTACATGTTAGTTAATTTGCTGCTTATGCCAGGTTGTTGGCCAAGAACCTGAATGATTTGCTATAAATGTTACATAATTCTATTGATCTGAAAATTAATATTTCAAAGACAAAGGTGAGTTATGTTTTACAAGGGAAATGGGAAAACATTGTAAAATTATACATAAAGGAAGAGAAATTAGACTAAACAGATGAATTTGTGTAATTTGATAGAAATTTCTCTCTCTCTCTCTCTCTCTCTCTCTCTCTCTCTCTCTCTCTCTCTCTCTCTCTCTCTCTCTCTCTTTCTCTCTCTCTCTCTCTCTCTCTCTCTGTGTGTGTGTGTGTGTGTTTGTATGTATAAGTAAGTAATTTAGTATAGTTCAGCAGAAGCTTAAATGTTTTATCCAAAAAGGACCATGCAAACTAGTATCTAGAATCCTGGCCAGGACCAACAAGGGCTATGTCACTTAACCAAGAATCAAAAAATGTTTTATTACTTATTTCTCTGGAGTTGAAATCAGAGAGGAAGCCCACTGGTTTTAAATATATTTAAAATAGTCCATATTTGCTGCAGCACTGGCATTATGATAACACCTATATTGCAGGATCCAATCTGAGCTGGTCACCAGGACCAAAGGTTTATTTGGTCACCTGGATGAAAGCTTTCAGGATCAAGCTGGAGCCCATTCTCAGGGAACTTCTTACTCTCCAGAATGTGTGCACTGGGCTGTTCTGTGTGCTGTATTTCTATGGTGCCTGGTTTTGTGTATGTTGATGGCTGGCTAGTAAATTGTTAGTTGTTGTTTCCTTGTGTCACTGTGGCCTCCACTCCTAAGTACCTGGTAAGCTGGTGGTAAATCAGCACTCCTATTAACTGACAAGGGGCCCATTTCCCAGGCTTCAATCATTTCTCTGGCTATTTTTGTCTCTGTCTGGCCAACAATCTTAGTAGCTGTGAAATTGAATTGAACCCTTGTTCACTGCAATGTGAGGCTACCAATGAGTTCAGCTATAACAATCACCTTTATTGCTCTGCAATTAAATTGGTACCATAATTATTCAGGTCACACATCCTCGTGTTTTGTCTTTTGTAACAGTTCTATGTACTGTAAGTAGGCCCTGCCAAGTGATATGGAGTTCTAGGAATTACATTGTTGGCTTGTATTTTCAATTTTTATGAGGTCTGAGAGAAATATCCAGTCAAAATTTCATTTAACCCCACCTCAGGCACAATACTATCTGGGCAACCTTGTGACAGTCACTCTCTCTCATCTCTAAGAAACAAAAAATGGCACTTCCGAATGGCAATGGCATTCTGAAAAACCTTGCCAATAAACCTGCAGTGACTGGTATAGGCAATATTCAGGAGTCAAAAACTGACTCTCTCACACATATAGATCCAATACCCCCCCCCCGATGTTGCATGTATGCTTAATCACTTCCTGTCTGACATTCTGAAGAAATAGAGACTCTAAAAGAACTATAATGATTATTCTAGGCATGCTTATTCAGAAATAAACTCTGCTAACTTCAACAGGCTTACTTCTATATAAATTCCAGCCAAGTGTCTTTGTTGAAATACTCTGCAAGAGGCCCAGTCTGAAAAGCTGAGTCTATACAAGCATGGCATCCTTAACCCTCCCTCTGTGTACTCCAGTACAAACCCTCCCTTTAGCTTTCCAATAAACTCCATTATCCCCCACAAAAACATAGCATTCTATCCAGTCAGTGCAAGAAAATAAATAAACCTGCTCTGAGACTACTGATAAGTAGCAGTTGTTTATCTGACTATTTTATTATTTAGGTTAGCACACCAGATATCAAATGTAAATCTATGGAAGACAGCCCCTATTGGGTAGATGTTTTACTTCACGTTTTAATAATATGGCAACTTCTGTAACGCTTAATAACTTTGGACTATAGCCAATAAAGTTAACAAAAGCATTTCCTCTTGCACAAGTTGGAGCATTTAATTTTCACAAGTGCTCCCAAACCACCCATAAGTGCCTTCTGTTCCACTCATAACTCTGCTGTTACAGATTGCAATATCTTCTGGAACCGAATGGTATGGATGATAGCAATGCATAATGTTGGGGGGGGGGGGACCTCAGATGCTTTTGACTGAATGAGGTTTTTGGTAAGTCAGGGATGAGCCACTCATGGCCTCAAGGGCACAATGATGAAATTCAGTGGCAAACCAATAACGTTTGGTGACATAATTTTTGTTTTTAAAAATGAAATAAATGCACATACATCTGTGAAGCCTCTACTAGGTTTAATTCATACTTCTAATATATCACTTTTCCTCCACTCCCACCCCAAAAGAAGAGATTTTACCATATTCCCTCTAGTGACATTGTCACACCTCCAGGCTACCATCGCTTCTGGAGGCTGAAAAAATGCTAATCTCTGTGCTATATTAAAGGATTCAAACAACTCATGATAAACAGGACTGCCAAGTGGATCCCAGGGTAGGAAAACCGTAGTTAAAAATGATTTGCTAGTTTTTATAGTATTTTATATTTATTGCCTCATTATGATGAGAGGAGGGGGTGTTTTAGTGTCCCTGAGAGAAATGCACAAAAAATGTCCAAAGGGTATACCAAAAGTATATGCTTCCAGTAGGATCACCAACAGCCTGAAGATCATCCCAACTGTGCAGCTGAACCAAGGGATGACCCTATACTAGCCAGCTGTAATAGAGGAAGATTACATTTGGAGACAAATGATCAAAGGAATTATTTCAAAGTCATTGGAAAAAGACAATGCTAAACCATGTATTTTTACGGAGAAAACACAAGTAAAAACTCTACATGGAAAAAGAGGTGCCAGGTGTTCTCTTTGGTTTCAAAAAGGCTGAAGAACAGAAAGCATTATTGCTGCTGGGTAATACCATGTTTCCCCAAAAATAAGATCTGGTCTTATATTTTTTTGACTCCAAAAGAGGAACTAGGTCTTATTTTGGGAGGATGACTTACCCGCTTACCTCAGGACTGCCACAGTGAGGCCTCCCATGCACCCACACACCCTGGTGCCAATCTTCTGCATCTGCTTACGTTTGCTTGCGGCAGGATGCCACATGTTGCATCATGCCGGTGTTGCCACTCGTGGCAGGAGGCTACATAGCACATTGTGCTGGTGCTGCCACTGTGGCAGGACTGCTGCAAGCTGAGCAGATACACCAAATGGCGTCCTGCCATGAGTGGTGGCACTGGCACAATGTGCCACATGGCATCCTGCTGTGAACGGTGGCATTGGCGCAATGCACCACTTGGCCTCCTGCCAAGAGTGGCCATAGAAGAAGTGGGGCGGCAGCACGAAAGATGATCTGGCTGTGGCGGTCTTGAGGTAAGCAGGTGCAGGGTGCATGGGGCAGCCCCACCCCCACCCCACTCTAGCATGATTTTTATGTGTGCACCTCAGGCCACCTCGTGCAACCAAATGGCGGGGTCTTAACTAGGACTTATTTTTGAAATAGGACTTATATTAGGCACACATAAAAATCAGGCTAGGTCTTATTTTCAGAATAGGTCTTATTTTGGGGAAAACACGGTACATACTGGAAAATTGAGAAAGTCAAAGAACATCAAAAAGAAGTCAGTTTGCTTCACTGATTATAGAAAGGATCAATCACATCAAGTTGTGGAATGTGCTTAGAAAAATGGAAATCCTAGAATGCTTCATTGTCTTAATGAGAAACCTCATGAACTTTATGTCAAAAAAGACTCCAGAGAATATCATGGACAGCCAAGAAAACAAGCCAATGGCTCATCAAACAAATGAACCAGAATTTTCACTTGAAGTGCAGATGACCACATTAAAATTATCTATTTCAAATGAATTATATGAAAACATAGCTTTCTGGAGAAGATTCTACGTCTGGGAAATATGGGATAAAATAAAACAGGATGACCTCAGCAAGATAGATGGATTCAATGCTAATGTCAATTGATGACACAGGAAGACCTGAAGGACAAGTTTAAGGACAGATCGTCATTGAGAAAAATCAATCTATGTGGTCACTAAGAGTTAACACCAATTTGATGGCACGTAATAAAAAAAAACTTCAAATTTTTAAAGTTTTTAATTAGAGAGAAAAGAAAAAAAACATTTATTGGAAGGCAATTATTTATTTCACCCTAAGCTATGCTATGGCTATTATAGGAGCCACATTCTCCTTTTATCATTTCCTAACTTATCATGGTGAGAAACTTTGCCATGAGTTTTTAGTAACCATAACTAGAAGGTCAGTGGTGGGATTCAGCCGGTTCACATCGGTTCAGCAGAACTAGTCGCTAAATTTTGCTGAGTTTGGAGAACCGACTGAATAAACACCGCTTCCGGAAGTCCATTCTAGGCCTCGGAGGCCCAGGCCTGCATCCAATAAGAGAACCGGTTGTTCAGGTATTTGAATCCCACACTGCTTAAGGTCATGCTATTTGAAGGGCTGCTTTCAGCCACATCCGTCTGCCCTATTTTAAGATCAAGAACAGGCTTCTTTTATTTTGCCCCCTTGAGAGGTGGTAAGAGTGCCCATTCTTCATTGTCTCACTTAAATAGTGAACAATTTTTTGAGTTCCAGCAGAGCCAGTTTTAAGGAATCTTTAAAGGCATATTCATATATTCAAGCACTCCCTTTAGTGCTTTTATTTTTCTAAAATTAGATGCTTTTCAGTGGTTAAACTATGAATTTTAATTACTTCTTTTTGTTAGATTTGTAAATGTTTTATTCTGATTTCATTACTGTAAGCCCAGAAGTATTTTAAATGAACAAACCATGCTATGTGAACATCTTCTACAATTATATTTCTTATTTTACTGTAGCAATGCATGTCTCTCTTTTTGGGGAAAAAAAATCAGAAAACTCTTCAGAGAAGCTTGTTAAATGTGTAAAAATTATTTAAATGTATTTACATAAAATAGATCATATACAACTGGCAGTTGTGACAGACTATTTTAAACAGTTTTAGAATAAGTCTTACTATTTTAGTAACTCTTACAACTGCAACTGACTTTTTTTTTAGGAGTTGTTGGTTATTTTTTAGTAACTCTTACTGTGTGATCTCCTGAGTTCAACACCCTTTAAAAGGCTGATAAAAGCCAAAGAAAAAAATAAGCTGCAAATTTGTTTTATGGAATAATATCCTTTGGGACTAAATAATAATAAAAATATTCTTTCTTTCTTGAAAACTACATCACTGTCATTTCTTTTATTTCACAGTCTCTCACAGAAAGAGTATTTTTCCCAGAACTGTATTAAATTCTTTCATCTGTAGAAAGTCAAGCTAAATCCCCTTTCAAACAGAGATTGCTTAATCTCTGAACATAACAATACATAATGTTATAGTTTTTGAGAAATATATAAAATTGAGTGTGTTATGTGGTATATTCATTTTACAATATTTATTTTATATTTTCTTCACATATTTATTACTTGGCTTTTATTCTAGATGAAGGGGTTTAATGTATCTCAGGCAGTGAAATTAGAGAATAGTTTCTCCCAATATTATTAGCTCATCAGAATAATTTAAACCAGAAAAAAGAATAAAGTGGAATGACATAATGTACTGCAAAGAAAATTAGTTCAGAAACCCTTGTATGAACCATTGTAAAGCAGACCAAATTACTAATCTCCTATTATAACTGAGGCCCAAGAATAGATATTTCAGTATGCTGATACACTATATTAAATTACTTTCAATATTTGACTACAACTTGAGAGAAAAAAATGCTCTTCTTATCATCTAACACAGGGTTGTCAAATTGCCAGCCCATGGGGCAGATGCGTCATGGCGAAACCGTGCCCACCCCATTGCCGGCAATGGAAAAAAAGTTGCAACACATCACGACACGTCACATGATGTTGCAAGTTTGACACCCCTGATCTAACATATAGCACTTTGTATTAAGGCGAGGTTGAGACATAGGGCCATACCCCTATCGGCCATCTCAGACTGCCCCATACACGGCTTACTTTCTAGTCCCTGGTGGTGGTAGATCAATACAGAAGTCTAGAAGACTGCTGCAGAAGGTAAAAAAAAAAAGAAGTGTTTCTCCCATGCTTCTGCTGGATTAGGAACTGTAACGCTTTATCTGTGGGAAAGGGCAGTTTATAGGTAGTTCTCAATTTACAACCGTTAGCTTAATGATTACCAAATTATTACAGTGTTGTTGCAGCGTGGGAAGTGCTATTGTGCGCTCCTGAAGAAAAGGTCAGATATTTATTTATTTATTTATTTTATATTATTTATTATTTTTATAAATAACCCAAGACTACAAACATATCCACCAAGGTTTCTCCTCCTATTTTCTGATAGAAAGAGAGAGAGAGAGAGAGAAAGAGAGAGAGAGAGAGAGAGAGAGACACGGAGAGATGGAGAGAGGGAGAGACAGAGAGAGACAGAGAGAGACAGAGAGAGACAGAGAGACAGAGTTTATATATAGATATACAGCTAAATTAAGTCAAAATCCAGTGCCATTTTGGAGACCTACTTCAGTTTTGGAGACCTCTTTCAATTCAAATGTATTATCAAAGTTTTGCATTCACCTATTACTTAACTGTCCAGGATACTGATAAAAAGGCACTAGAAACTGAATCTTCTGTAACATTTCCTTAACTGCTTCTCCAAAGTACTTTTCTTCTTTTGAACAGCTATGTGAATTACAACTCCAATTGGCTTAGCTTTGCAATAAAAACTTACTTCCCAGTTTCTGAGTTGAATCCAAAATAGTTGTCACTGCAGTGGTCACATTTCATTCCAGATACAGAAGAATCATGGCAAACACACTGGCCGGTGAGAGTGTCACAAATATTGCTGATTGAGCCGCTTGGATGGCACAAACAGGGAAGGCAGCTACTCTCACCTTGTGCAGAAATATAAAAACCTAATAAATTGGAAAATAGTGTAAAATATGCATTATCATAGCTTTGTCACAAACTAGAAAAGAAATATTAAAAGAATGGAAAATATAAAGTGAAATTGGAATTTAAAAGTACACAATCTCTTACATTTACTGAAGCTGAGAAGTCAATTTTCTATAAATATTTTTCCCTCTTTTAAGTGTTGATGGATTTGGAGCACAATGCAGTATGAAAGTATCTTACAATTTCAGTTTTTCAATTTTTGAACCCTTGTTTGGTTAAGTCTCATTATTTTACCAATCCACAAACCATAAGTATAACATTTTATGCATAATATACAGACTTTCATATATTTTCAAAGGTGGGTTTTAAAGTAATACAGGTAGTCCTTGACTTATGGTCACAATGAAGCCTGGAATTCAAGTTGTAAGTTGTTGAGTCAGAAATCGAGGCACTACCTAATCAGATTCAATTTTACTGTAACTTACTGTGGTTATTAAGCAGATCACATGGTTGTTAAGCATAGCCAGCATCTCCAAGGGGAACTTTCCTCAGAAACCAGCAAAATATGCCAGAAATCATCAGAAAAAAGTCACATGGTAGTCATGTAACTGCAGGATGCTGCAACCGGTTGTAAATGCAAGCCAATTGCCAAGTTCCTGAAATGCAATCATGTAACTCTGGAAGTATATGTATGCGGCACTTGTAAACTTTGAAAACAGGTTGTACATAGCTTGAACAGTTGTTTAAATGTCAGTTGTAAGTCAAGGACCATCTGTATTCCATATGAAGTATGTATTTTGTATATTTCTTTTTTATGTACCTTTTATTACAGATGTTTCAGACTTTTCACTTAAAAATAACTAGAAGACTTTCATCCTAAAGTCTTCTAGTTATGAGGGCAATTTGGAAATAAATCTCCATTTGAGCATGTGCGAGAAACAGGCGGGGATAGCGATGCCCATCCTATGACACCATGCACAGTAGTTTAGTAGGCAGTGAGCAGTGGAAGGAGAAGATTGTGTTGCAGTTGACTCGTAGGCTAGATCAATTGAAAATGAACCCTGCCATAGAAAATCCAGCGAAATGTGAAGTGTGTGCAGTAATATGCTTCCTGTGTGCAAAAAAACTTTCAGCAGCTGTGATTCATCATGAACTATGTAATATTTATGGACCAAACATGATGAGTGAAGGTGTCATACGTCAATGGTGTCGCATGTTTAAAGATGGACAAACTGACATGCACGGTTAGGCAAGAAGTAGCCGCCCATCTGTAGTCAGTGATGAACTCATGCAGGAAATTGACAAAAAGGTCTGTAAAGTCCATTGGTTCATGATATCTGCACTTTCTTTACACTTTCCCCAAATTTCTCGGACTGTTTTTTATGAGGTAGTGACAGAAAATTTGGGATACTGCAAGTTCTGTGCTCGTTGGGTACCAAAATTCCTTTCTGAGGAGCATAAAACACACAGAATGGGTTGTGCTTTGGACTTTCTCACACATTATGCCGAGGAAGAAGAACAATTTTTTAACAGAATTGTAATAGGGGATGACACCTGGGTGTCCTACGTGAACTCTAAAAGCAAACAGCAATCAATGGTGTGGTGTCATACGCATTCACCAAAGAAACCCAAAAAAGCTCGGCAAACATTGTCTGGCAGAAAGGTTATGGTAACAGTATTCTGGGATGCCAAAGGAGTACTGCTATTGAAGTTCATGCAGGGTGGTTCGATAATCAATTCAGAAGTCTACTGTGAAATGTTAAAAAAACTTAAATGAGCCATCCATAACAAGCGTTGGGGCATGCTGACTTCTGGTGTGGTGTTGGTTCACGATAATGCTTACCCGCACACTGCTAGACACATCCAAGAACTTTTGAAGCACTTCCATTGTTTTTGATCACCTCCCCCCCCATAGCCCAGATTTGGCATCAAGTGACTACCACCTCTTCAGACACATGAAACAGTGGCTTGTGTCACAATGCTTCAACGATGACAATGCACTTCATGATGCTGTTACAGGGTGGCTTCATTCCCAGGCGGGATATTTTTTTCCAAAAGGAATTTCAAGCCTTGTAAGACGTTATGACAAGTACCTCAATTTGAATGGCAATTATGTTGAAAAGTAATGTAATGTTGTTGTTTTCTAATGTGTATAATAAAAGTTCTGTATCTGCAAGTGTCTGTCATTGATAATCAAACAGAGGTTTATTTCCGAATTGCCCTCATATTTTTAAGTGAAAAGTCTGAGACATGTGTAACAAAATGTATATGAGCTTTCATCATATTTGGTGTAATAGTTAAGACACTAGGCTAGAAATTTGGAAATGTGAGATCTAGTCTTTCCTTAGGCATGAAAACCACCTGTATGACCTTGGGCCAATCACTCTCTCTCTCAGCACAATCCATCTCACAAGGTTGTTGTTCTGAAGAGAGAGGAGTATTAAGCATGTTCATCATCTTGAGTTATTTATAAAAACTAATAAAGGCAGAATAAAAATAAATAAATAATTAAAAATGAGCCAATATAGGGCTTGTCATACTATCTTTCACTTCCAAGTAATGATAGTGGTTTTTTCCCCTACATTTGGTACCACCAAAACTAATATTGAAATAGGCTATATGTTATCTTGGTATTCTAAGACTTTAATGAATTTCAGTTGAGATACTCACACTCATACATTCCATTAAGAATCATAATAGATGGATTAATGTTAAAGAAAATGATGGGGAATTTGCAATATGATTTTAAGTTTCCCTTTCCTTAAAGAAATATTTAAATATGTTTCATATATATGGGATGTATGGTTGGATGTTCTGTTGTCTTGAAAAGTTTAAAACACACTGCTATAAAACAACTGGAACTGTTATAAAGATACCAGTATTTTTAATGGTTAAAATGGGGCAAATGTTTCTTGGCTGCCTTATATAACTTCTAATATTATTAATAATAATAATAATAATAATAGTAAAGTTGGAAGGGACCTTGAAGGTCATCTAGTCCAACCCCCTGCTCAGGCAGGAAACCCTATACCATTTTGGACAAATGGCTGTCCAGTCTCTTCTTAAAATCTTCCAGTGTTGGAGCATTCACCGCTTCTGGAGGCAGATTGTTCCACTGGTTAATTGTTCTCACTGTCAGGAAGTTTCTCCTCCCGATACAGGGGCTGATTGGATAATTTAGTCCAATAGAAGTGAACATCAAGTTTATTGTCTCTGTTCCTACAAATTTCTTCTATCTGTTTCATATTGGTAAAGTATTTATAAGAAAATAGGATAAAATTCAGCAGTTTGTCTTGGAGAGGGAGAGTATCAATGCACTAAAAGAAAATTTGAACTAAGTAGAAATTAAAACTCAGATGTATGATTTTTATTATTAAAAATATGGAAATATATTTCTATAAATGTCATCTATGCATAGTGATATAGCCAATATTTTTATTATGCATTTACCAACCTATAAATGAAAATATTTTATATTTCCTTGCACCATACCTGACAAATCTTCATGAAATCTACAGTTTTGGAACAAATGATATTCAGATTCAGCTAATGAATAGTATAATCAAGATAGTAATCTTGATTATACTATATTGTGATATATATCATCCACAACTGGTAAATACTTTAGCAACATTTGATTATAAATGAAGCCAGCACAGAACACTAATAGCCACATAGCCATATAGATAGCTCTTGTCCAGGATGATATGTTCCCAACCTGTCCATTCAGGTGGAAGAAAAGAGAAGACAGCAAATAGCAACAAGGTGGATGGATTCAAATGCAGTAATAATTGGTTTGCCACTAGACACCTAAAGGGTCAGTTTAGGAAAAAAAATATTATAGAGAAGAATTATTGATTGATCACTAAGAGTCAACACCAACCTAATGGCAAGGAATCAGTCACTTAATTGTGAAGTCCTTGAGATTTGATTGTGACAAGGAGCTTTAGAGCACAAATGTAGTATTTCTCTATGCATTTTTAAATTGTGGAATTGAAATAACAATAATTTGCCAGCAAAAGATAGGCTGATTGGACTTGCCCAGCCAGTATTGCTAACTTAAGTATGCCCTTTTGACATAATAACCTCTGATTCAAAATAACATATGTTTATATTAGTTCCTCCTGTTGTGAATGGATATATCCTATGTCGCTTATTGAGAATTTCCTGTAACAAAGATCAGGAAGGAAATAAACATTTTACATACAATATAGCTTGCAAGATTGAATTTTACACAATCTTAATAGGGATTTACAAAAGATAATGAGGTTTTTGCTCATCTTTTTCTTACCTGGCTTACACTTTTCACATCTTCTTCCATGGCGGTGAGGCTGGCAAATACATTGTCCACTGGTTTGGTCACATGCTGTTCCTGGAAGTGTCCCTAGAGGATCACAATCACAAGGCATGCAGCCAAGAATATTTTGAGCAGTAAGGTTATACATATAGGGCCTGCACTGATTGCACTGAAGAGCTTTGACACCAGATTTGCAAGGACACTGTCCTGTCAATTTGTCACACACTAAAGAGCCATTTACAGAGCCAGACTTATCACAGTTACATGGCACACAGGACAAAGCAGTGTTTTGCCATTCTTTATAATACCCATTTAAGCAATCATCACATTGCCTTCCACCAAAGTTAGGCTTGCAAATACACTGTCCAGTTTTGGGATCACACAATGTATCAGAAACCGATCCTGCTATTTGACAACTACAAGGTTTACAGCCAAAAGCATCCATCCAATAAAAGCCATCAATGCAAGTCTCACAATGAGTTCCTTTAACCCCTTGCTTACAAGTGCACTGTCCAGTGGAAGGATTACACACATTGTTCATGGAACCATGGATGTTACACAGGCAAGGCTCACACCCATCTTGCTTAATATTTTGGATGACTTTATATCCAGACTTGCACTGATCACACCTGAGACCTAAAAAAGAGGAAATTCTTATTCAAAATAGTAATATAAATAACATAAATATACTATGTTGCACCTGAAGCAGAGCTTGTACATCACAATCTAGCAATCCTTAAATGGGAAGAAAGAATAAGACAGCCAGGCCAACCTTTACAATTACATGCGCCCTTGACTGAAAGCTCCACAGAAGGCTGTGAAAAACCCAACTAAAAACAATTCACAGCATCAAACCCAGCTACAAACTATAACATAACAAAGCATGTCCCATTCATCCATGAAATACAGAGAAATCCAAGGGAGAGGCACAAGAAGATAAGCCCTAAATTTGCTCCTAGAGTTGAGATCAATGACCACTAACTAATATTACCTGAAATGTATGGAAAGGTACACTGAGTTGTAAATGCCATGTGCTGTCATAGAGCACATGCTTTAGAAACAGAGAGTCTTTAGTAATCTCGTGTCTGCACAGAGAATTGTAAACCACATAGAATAGAATAATAATAATAGAGTTGGAAGGAACCTTGGAGGTCTTCTAAGTTCAACCTGCTGCTTAAGCAGGAGACCTCATGCATCTAAAGTTTACAAAAACAAACCTTTCTTTCTGAATATCTATTTCAACTGTAATTTGAATGGTAATTATTTTTTTAAAAAAACAACAACAATTTGTTTTAAAATATATTTGAAAGAGACAATATATAATGGCAAAAGTATCTACAATATTAATCAATATCAAAATAATAATAATTATAAGTAAAAACAGATGCAAAAGGGGACCTCCCTCTCACCAAGGTCCTCCTTTTCTTGTCACCAATTTATTCTGTTTGTATAATACATCTGAAGCCAAAAAAAGCATGGTCTTGGTGTTGTGTCCTGAGCCTGCAAGATGCAGGCTCGGGACGTTGCAAGAGTCCCAGGCAATTGCAGAAGCTGCCCAGGACCAGACTGAGTGGCGCCGGCCTTGTGCGCATGCACAAGGCGGGAAAAGCCCGCCTCATGATTGGTTGAACTTGCCCGGGGATCAGAGGGTATAAATAGAGGCCTGCGTGCCTCTGCTCTGGTTGTTCGTAGAGTGGAGCAAACAATAAAGACTTGTTGAAGATGAATCGTCTCAAGCGCCATTATTCTCAGGACTTAACACTGGCGACGAAGGTGGGATCCAGTCTCTACAGCTAAGAAAAGCTAGAAGACTCATCCAAAGAAGTCCGGGAAAGAAACGGCGTGGAAGTCAGCGTTATCTTGCCAGTACGAAATCGCTGGAGGGTGCGTGCGACTGAAGAAGAAGAAACTTTACCATCGATCATGGCTAAAGTTGGGCGTTTAGAAGAATTCGACGTCTCTCACCCCGAGAGGTGGGAATCTTACGTGGCAAGAGTCGAGACGTATTTTCGCATCAATCAGGTTCGAGAGGAAGGCTTAAAGGCTGCCACATTGTTGTGCGTTTGTGGGCAAGACGCCTTTGAAATCGCCGAGAGTTTAATCTCCCCAGAATCGCTGGAAACGGTATCATACTCCGACCTCAAGAAAACCTTAAAGGAACACTTCCAGCCCAAGCAATCAGTCATGGCTTGGAGGCACACATTTCAACAGAGAGATCAGCGAGTCGGAGAATCAGCAAAAGACTACGTTGCGGCCTTGAAAAGAGCAGCTAAACCGTGCGACTTCAAGGACTTAGAAGAAAGACTTCACGATCGTTTTGTATGCGGGCTGAGAAACACAGAATTGCAGCAGAGACTGTTCGCCAGGGAAGATGTTTCCTTCCAAGATGCTCTGCGAGAGGTTTCGGCTGAAGAAGCTGCCGGCGGGGCGGTCAAGAACATGCGGCCCAAGAGAAACGCTCCTGAGACCGCCACTATTCACAAGGAAGACGTGCGCGAGGAGTNGGACGAAGATCCTGAAGAAGAGGTGGATAAGCTTTACCAAGCTGCTGGAAGAAAGTCCAAGGATCGTCAGGACAAGGGCCCAGCTGAGCTTCATTGTCTTGGATGCGGTGGTCGCCACAAGTGAGCTGAATGGCGGTTCCGTTCCGCCATTTGCCGAGCGTGCGGGAAGAAGGGCCACATCGCTGCGGTCTGCCTGGGTCGACAGAAGGTACAACCGAAGGAAGAATTGATTCTGAAAGGTACCAGGGTGCCCAGCCAAAACAGGGTGGGGTTCTGTGCAACACGCCGGAACATTTTAAGAATAGGCACACACAAACCCCTTAAAAAGAAACTAACACTTAAAGTGAAATTGCAGGGAATTCCATTATCAATGGAACTTGACACAGGGTCTGCCCTATCCATAATTTCCCTCAATACATTCAAACAAATCTGCAGAAGCAGTGGCCAGAAAGTGTCCCTAAGGCCCTCTAATGTAATCCTTACGGATTTCCAAAATTCTAAAGTGTGCGTTAAGGGGGAGACCACCCTTAGTGTACAGTACAAGAATTTTGCAGGCCCCCTAGACGTGTTGGTTGTAGGGGGTGAACGAACGAGTCTCATTGGACTCGATTGGTTTGAGGCCTTGGTAATTCAGGTAACTGTACTGAATAAATTGCAAACACAGACTCTTGCTGATGTATGCAAGGAGTTTGCAGATGTGTTCAGCTCTAAACTTGGGTCCTACACGGGACCTCCTGTTTCACTTAAGTTGGATCCAACAGTACAGCCCATCAGGGTTAAGCCTAGGAGGGTACCATTCGCTCTTAAGAGCAAGACTGACGCTGAGCTGGACAAGTTGCTCCAGCAAGGTATTCTAAAGCCTGTAGATTCCAGCCCGTGGGAAACCCCCATTGTAACGCCTTTAAAGGCAAACGGGGACATCCGGATTTGTGCTGACTACAAATGTACTCTAAACAAGGCCCTACAGCAACATGCTTATCCTGTGCCTGTAGTGAGCCACATTTTAGCTTCCCTGAAGGAAGGAAAATTTTTTGCTAAGCTTGATTTGGCTCAGGCTTATCAACAGCTGCCTGTTGATGATGCTGCAGCTGAGGCCCAAACTATTGTCACCCATCGTGGAGCTTTCAGGGTGAAGAGGTTACAGTTTGGGGTGAATGTCGCTCCTGGCATTTTTCAAAGTGTGATGGAAAACACCATGAGGGGTATTCCTGGTGTATGTCCTTATTTTGATGATGTTCTCATCGCAGGTGACTCTCCACAAGTGCTGGATGAGCGGTTAAAGGCCGTTTTGCTTCGTTTCCGGAAGGCAGGTCTTAAACTTAAACAGGACAAATGTAAGATTGGTGTCCAATCCACTGAATTCTTAGGGTTCAAGATTGATGCACAGGGTATTCACCCATCTGATGCTAAGCTCAAAGCTATTCAGAAGGCTCCAAGCCCCAAGTCTAGGGGCGAACTGCAAGCCTTT